CGGAGTTATAAAGGAATTCGATAACGATTTTCCAGAGTTAGAAAGGAATTTTGAATACCAGAGATAATTCTAAATCTCAGAGCCAATCGCGTCAGAATTCCCCAGGAAACGCTGGGGCCAGGAAGGGAAAAAGGAGTTAGAAAGGAATTTGATAAGGGAATTTCAAGAGTTAGAAAGGAATTATGAATACCAGAGAGAATTCTGACTTCAGAGACTATCGAATCATAATTCCCCAAGAAGCGCCGGGGCCAGGACAGGGAAACGGAGTTAGAAAGGAAATTAATAGGGAATTTCCACAGTTAGAAAGGAATTTTGAATACCAGAGAGAATTCTGAACCTCAGAGACAATCGAGTCCGAATTGCCAGAGAAAGCCAGGGCCAGGAAGGGAGAAAGGAGTTAGAAAGGAATTTGATATGGAAATTCTAAAGGTAGAAAGGATTTTTGAATACCAGAGAGAATTCTGAATTTCAGAGACTATCGAGTCAGAATTCCCCAAGAAACGCTGGGGCCAGGAAGGGAAAACGGAGTTCCTTCTTCCCCTTCGGAACCCAGGAAAATCCTTATCACATTCCTTTCTAACTCCGTTTTCCCTTCCTGGCCCCAGCGTTTCTTAGGGAATTCTGATTCGATAGTCTCTGAAATCCAGAATTCTCTCTGGCATTCAAAAATCCTTTCTAACTGTGGAGTTTCCTTATCAAATTCCTTTCTAACTCTTTTTTCCCTCCCTGGCCCTGGCTTTCTCGGGCAATTCGGACTCGATTGTCTCTGAGGTTCAGAACTCTCTCTGGTATTCGAAATTCCTTTCTAACCCTGGAAATTCCTTATTACATTCCTTTCTAACTCCGTTTCCCTTTCCTGGCCCTGGCGCTTCTTGGGGAATTCTGATTCGATAGTCTCTGAAATTCAGAATTCTGTCTGGTATTCAAGATTCCTTTCTAACTCTGGAAATTCCTTAGTAAATTCCTTTCTAACTCATTTTTCTCTTCCTGGCCCCGGCGTTTCCTGGGGAATTCTGACGCGATTGGCTCTGAGATTCAGAATTATCTCTGGTATTCAAAATTCCTTTCTAACTCTGGAAATTCCTTATCGAATTCCTTTCAAACTCCGTTTCCCCTTCCTGGCCCCAGCGTTTCTTGGGAAATTCTGATTCGATTGTCTCTGAAGTTCAGAATTCTCTGTGGTATTCAAAATTCCTTTCTAACTCTTGGGAATTCTTTATTAAATTCCTTTTCTAACTCTTTTTTCCCTTCCTGGCCCTGGCTTTCTCGGGCAATTCTGAATCGATACTCTCTGCGGTTCAGAATTATCTCTGGTATTCAAAATTCCTCGCTAACTCTGGAAAGTCCTTATCGAATTCCTTTCTAACTCCGTTTCCCCTTCCTGGCCCCAGCGTTTCTTGGGGAATTCTGATTCGATACCTAGTCTCTGAAATTCGGAATACTCTCTGGTTTTCAAAATTCCTTCCTAACTCGGGAAATTCCTTATCAAATTCCTTTCTAACTCCTTTTTCCCTTCCTGGCCCTGGCTTTCTCGGGCAATTCGGACTCGATTGTCTCTGAGGTTCAGAATTCTCTCTGGTATTCAAAATTCCTTTCTAACTCTGGAAATTCCTTATCGAATTCCTTTCTAACTCCGTTTCCCCTTCCTGGCCCCAGCGTTTCTTGGGGAATTCTGACGCAAGTGGGCCTGCGATTCAAAATTCTCTCTGGTATTCAAAATTCCTTTCTAACTCTTGGAAATTCCTTATCGAATTCCTTTCTAACTCCGTTTCCCCTTCCTGGCCCCGGCGCTTCTTGGGCAATTCTTATCAGATAGTCTCTGAGATGCAGAATTCTCTCTGGTATCCAGAATTCCTTCCTAACTCTTGAAATTCCTTATTAAATTCCTTTCTAACTCCTTTTTCCGTCCTGGCCCAGACCTCTCGGCGTCGTTAAAAAAAAAAACACAGACCCCCCAAAAAACGAAATTTCTTTCTAACTCTTGAAATTCCTTATTAAATTCCTTTCTAACTCCTTTTTCCTTCCTGGCCCAACCCCCCCGGCGTCGTAAAAAGACAAAACCAAGAAACAACCCCAAAAAACGAAATTCCTTTCTAACTCTTGAAATTCCTTATTAAATTCCGTTCTAACTCCTTTTTCCTTCCTGGCCCAGACCTCTCGGCGTCGTAAAAAAAAACACAGACCCCCAAAAAATCAAATTCCTTTCTAACTCTTGAAATTCCTTATTAAGTTCCTTTGTAACTCCTTTTTCCCTTCCTGGCCGAAACCTCTCGGCGTTGTAAAAAAAACAAAAACAAAAAAACGAAATTCCTTTCTAACTCTTGAAATGCCTTATTAAATTCTGTTCTAACTCATTTTTCTTTCCTGCCCCAGACCTCTCGGCGTCGTAGAAAAACAAAACAAAAAACAACCCCGAAAAACGAAATTCCTTTCTAACTCTTGATATTCCTTATTAAATTCCTTTCTAACTCCTGTTTTTTCCTTCCTGGCCCAGATTTCGCGGCGTCGTAAAAAACAAAACAGACCAACCACCAAAACGAAATTCATTTCTAACTCTTGAAATTCCTTACTAAATTCCTTGTGGACTCCTTTTTCCTTTCCTGGCCCAGACCTGTCGGCGTCGTGAAAAAAAACAAAAACAAAAAACAGCCCCCAAAAAAACTAAATTCCTTTCTAACTCTTGAAATTCCTTATTAAATTCCTTTCTAACCCCTTTTTCCTTCCTGCCCCAGACCTCTCTGCGTCGTGAAAAAAAACAAAACAAAAAAAAACTACCAAAAACTAAATTCCTTCCTAACTCTTGAAATTCCTTATTCAATTCCTTTCTAACTCCTTTTTCCTTCCTGGCCCAGACCTCTCGGCGTCGTGAAAAAAACAGAACAAACAAACCAACACCAACCACGAAATTTCTTTTTTAACCCTCTGAAATTCCTTATTACATTCCTTTCTAACTCCTCTTTCCCTTCCTGGCCCAGACCTCTCGGCGCGTAAAAAAAACAGAAAACAGCAAAAAAAACGAAATTCCTTTCTAACTCTTGAAATTCCTTATTACATTCCCTTCTAATTCACTTTTCCTTCCTGGCCCAGACCTCTCGGCGTCGTAAAAAAAACGAAACGAAAAACAACCCCAAAAAACGAAATTCCTTTCTAACTCTTGGAAATCCTTATTCAATTCCTTTCGAATTCCTGTTCCTTCCTGGCCCAGACCTCTCGGCGTCGTAAAAAACAAAACAAGAAAACACCACCAAAAACGAAATTCCTTTCTAACTCTTGAAATTCCTTTATTAAATTCCTTTCTAACTCCTTTTTCCTGCCTGGCCCAAACCTCTCGGCGTTGTAAAAAATGAAACAAAAAACAACCCAAAAAACACAATTTCTTTCTAACTCTTGAAATTCCTTTTCAAATTCCTTTCTAACTCCTTTTTTCCTTCCTGGCCCTGACCTCCCGGCGTCGTAAAAAACAAAACAAAAAACAGCCACCAAAAAAGCGAAATTCCTTTCTAACTCTTGAAATTCCTTATTAAATTCCTTTCTAACTCCTTTTTCCTTTCCTGGCCCAGACCTCTCGGTGTCGTTTTTTTTTTTTTTATAATATATATATATATATATATATAGATATATATATATATATAAAAATAAAAAAAAAAAAAAAAAAAAAAAAAAAAAAAAAAAAAAAAAAAAAAAAAAAAAAAAAAAAAAAAAAAAAAAAAAAAAAAAAAAAAAACGAAATTCCTTTCTAACTCTTGATATTCCTTATAAATTCCTTTCTAACTCCTTTTTCTTTCCTGGCCCAGACCTCTCGGCGTCGTAAAAAAACAAAACAAAAATCAATTTCCCAAAAACGAAATTCCTTTCTAACTCTTGAAATTCCTTATTAGATTCCTTTCTAACTCCTTTTTCCTTCCTGGCCCAGACCTCTCGGCGTCGTAAAAAACAAAACAAAAAACCACCACCAAAAACGAAATTCCTTTCTAACTCTTGAAATTCCTTATTAAATTCATTTCTAACTCCTTTTTCCTTCCTGGCCCAGACCTCCCGGCGTCGTTTTTTTTTTTTTGACAACAACACCCAAAACGAAATTCCCTTCAAACTCTGGAAATTCCTTATCAATTTCCTTTCTAACTCCTTTTTTTCCTTCCTGGCCCAGACATCTCGGCGTCGTTAAAAAAACAAAAAAACGACCCCAACAACGAAATTCCTTTCTAACTCTTGAAATTCCTTATCAAATTCCTTTCTAACTCCTTTTTCTTCCCCGGCCCAGACCTCCTGGCGTCGTAAAAAAAACAAATTTAACGCAAAAAAACTGAATTCCTTTCTAACCTTTGAAATCCCTTATCAAATTCCTTTCTAACTCCTTTTTCCTTCCTGGCCCAGACCTCCCGGCGTCGTAAAAAAACAGAAAAAACGCCGCGCGAAAGCTGCGTCGCAGCTACAGCTACAGCTACAGCTACAGCATTAATTGCTCAGCGAATTATTTACTGTAGCACCCTACAGTACAGCTACAGCATTAATTGCTCAGCGAATTATTTCTGTTAGGGAAAAAAATCAATGGTATCTCCGCCTCCTCCTCCTTCTCCTCCTCCTCCTCCTCCTCCTCCTCCTCCTTATCTCCGCCTCCTCCTCCTCCTTCACAATATGGTAAAATAGAGAAAGTGGGGAGAAGACTCTAGGCCTCCTAGATGGGTCGGTGCAGATGGGGTCGGAGGATCGCGCCGCATCGCCGATGCGGCTCGATGTGGAGCCCGATTTGCTTCACGCCGACGGCGCCGATGCATCGCCCACGTCGACGATGTATCGCCCGTGCATCGCCGATGCATCGCCGATGCATCGCCGATGTATCGGCGATGCGGTGCGATCCTCCGACCCCATCTACTCCGACCCCATCTAGGAGGCCTGTAAGTACGTCTACTTCTGAGGCTTAATACCTTCGGCAAGTCGGGGTGATGGCGACGGCGTGGCAGTTGCGCTTGCCGAGAGCTCTCCGCGGCAGAAGTGGGCAGGTACCTCGACATGACCAGCGTTTCTCGGGAAAGCCTCCGTTTCTTGTTTTGTGCTTGCTGCGTCATGGCCGAGCCGAGAGCGGCAGAACGAATGGTCGTGCAGGTCGATCAGAAGAGGACACCCGAGGCGTCCCCAACTTCGCGGATGGGTTGTCAAAAACGCAACCTCCGAGCAGTTTTCCAGCGGCGGGAGGGTGGAAGCGTTGACGCTGAATGTATGCGTAGATATAGTTGTCATCCAGCCATGGTCTCCGTTTCGCCCCCGATCGCGATACAACAGCGAGTTTGACAGGCACACGAAGGAAAGAACGAAGGATGTGTTCTAGTCGCACCATTTGCCCATGCAACCCCTCAATTCTCCCACTCTCGCCCGTTCGGTTGCGACTCTTGCCATTTAACGGTGGGTCTTCATCGTCTGATCCTTGATGCGGCGAGCATGTGCAATCACCAGAGCCTTGGCCTGATCTGCTCATTGTCTGTATTGTATCGCCTCTCGCCCCTCGCCTCGTCGAAGACGCCCTCGGCGAGATCCCGCCGTACTCTGCCTACTGGAGGCTCAAAGCCGGTCCAAGATGGGGCCCGCATTGGGGTCAAGGCGGAAGCCTTTGGAGCACGCGGCCTCGCAGTATCGATGCCTATCCTCTTCCTCCTTCTCCTCCGCCTCCTCCTCCGCCTCCTCCTCCTCCGCCTCCTCCTCCGCCTCCTCCTCCTCTACCTCCTCCTCCTCCTCCTCCTCCTCCTCTACCTCCTCCTCCTCCTCCTCCTCCTCCTCCTCCTCCTCCTCCTCCTCCTCTTTCCTGGTCTTCCGAGGAGTCGGTCCCGCCGCGACATTTTTGGGGGGCCCACTGAACATGGAGTTGACATGCAATTTTTTGGTGGGGGATGTGCTTTGTTCCGCTTCGCGTTTCACCAACCAGTCCATCCACAAATAAGCGTCTCGCTGTAGGAGAAGGAAGGCGGGATGAGGACGAGCAGATTCAGGAGAATATTGGATACGATGTGGTGAAGAATGTGGTCTGGAAGCGCAGGATGGAGGATGAGGACAATGGTATCATGTGTGAAAGTGTAGTCAGACACGGACGAGTGAGGCGGGCTTAGGAGGAGAAAGCAGGAGCGGAAAAATAATGAGCAGTAACACGAGAAGAGATGGAGGGTGAGCAGAAGCATGAATAGAAGGATGAGGTTCAGGAGGAAGATGTGAAGGGCAATGGGGAACATGGTAATGAGGATAACAGTTCCCATTTACCGAATTTGCGTCGATGATGCAAGACATCATCCTATGTTGTGCATGGCCGCTCGTTGCTGGATCGATCATGGCTGCGTGAACGTCTAGGATCAAGTGCACTTGCAAAGGGCTCCAGGGGAGCAGAAGTCCGAGGGCGCCGCGGGGGGTCGTCTTCATGCGCGACTGGGGCTCCCAGGACTTGGGGCGCAGACGGGCGGCACCAACACACGTGACACTGGCGTGTGGCACACCGCGCTTGAACAAAGAAAAGAAACAGGGCCAGTGCTCGTGCCAAGTGCCGCCTGGAAGAGCCCCGCCGTCTTCGACTCCTACGTCGACCACCTGGACTGCCCCACCGCGAGCCTGAGAGGCTCGGCGCGGCAGGCGGCCTAGGGTGGAGGGCGAGACCTTTCAGGGACGCCCGCTCATCTTCCTCCTCCTCTTCCTCCTTCTCCTCCTCCTTGTCTTCGTCGTCGTCCTCCTCCTCCTCTTCCTCCTCCGCGTGGTTGCGGATGCTCCCAGAACGAGAACACCGCGAACATGCAGGCGGAGGACTTCACGATCGAGGACGTGAGGAAGTACTACCAGGACCCGCGCCTCCTCCTCCTCCTCCTCCTCCTCCTCCTCCTCCTCCTCTTCCTCCTCCTGCTCCTCCTCCTCCTCCTCCTCCTCCTCCTCCTCCTCTCCTCCTCCTCCTCTCCCCTCCTCCTCCTCCTCCTCCTCCTCCTCCTCCTCCTCCTCCTCCTCCTCCTCCTCCTCCTCCTCCTCCTCCTCCTCCTCCTCCTCCTCCTCCCCCTCCCCCTCCCCCTCCTCCTCCCCGACCTGCTCCCCGGACCTCTCCCAGGGTGCGCTCCGACCAGAGTTTCGGGGCGAGGCCGGCGGTGGCGACGAGGGCCCCCGAGGAGGCCCCCTCAAAGAGGGGGAGCACGAGGGACGGGGTGCGGGGTGGATACCTCTCTCCTCCTCCGGGATCCGTCCCACAAGCCCCCGTCCGCGGCCCCCCGCCGACACGGTCGGCGCGGCCCCGAGGACATCAAGAGCCGCACGAGCGAGGAGGGCGGTGACGAGCGCTTCGTCGGCCACAACGACCCCGCCGCTCCGCCGCCCCGCCCCGCCTCGCGGCAAAGGGGGGCAGGGAGCATTGCGTCCAGACCTTCACGGCAGCAAGAGGGCAGGGCGGCAAGGTCGAAGAAGCCTACAGCGGACCAGTCCTCCTCTTCCCCCGTCTCTTCCCCCTCCTCCTCCTCCTCCTCCTCCTCCTCCTCCTCCTCCTCCTCCTCCTCCTCCTCCTCCTCCTCCTCCTCCTCCTCCTCCTCCTCCTCAGGTCTCCTCCTCCTCCCAGGTCCTCCTCCTCCTGCTTCCTCCTCTCCTCCTCCTCTTCCCTCCTCCTCCCTCTCCTCCTCTCTGCTCCTCCTTCACCTCGTCCTCCTCCCCTCCTCGTTCCTCATCCTCGTCTTCCTCCTCCTCCTCGTCTTTCTCCCCCTCCTCCACCTCCTCCTCCCGTCCTCCTCCTCCTCCCCTCCCTCCTACCTCCTCCTCCTCCCATTTCCCCTCCTCCTCCTCCTCCCCTCCTCCTCCTCCTCCTCCTCCTCCTACCTCCAACCTCCTCCACCTCCGCTTTCTCCACCTCATCCTCCTCCTCCTCCACCTCCTCCTCTGCCGCCCTCAAGTCCTCCTCCTCCTCAATCCTTCTCCTCCTCCTCCTCCTCCTCTCCCACCTCCTTCTCCTCCTCCTCCTCTCTGCACCTCCTCCTCCTCCTCCTCCGCCACCAACTCCTTCTCCCTCCTCCTCCTCCACCTCCTACAACTACTACTACGACTACAATTCGAACTGACTAACTACACTACTACTACTACTACTACTACTACTTACTACAACTACACACTACTACAAACTACTACTACTACTACTACTACTACTACTACTACTATAACTACAACAACTACTACTACTACTAACTACTACTAACCTACAACTACTACTACTACTACTTACTAACCACTACTACTACTACGACTACTACAACTACTAAACAACCAACTACAACTACTACTACTACTACTACTACGACGTACTACTACTACTACTACTAACTACTACTACTACTCCTACCTCCTACTCTACTCCTACTCCCACCTCCTCCACCTCCTCCTCCTCCTCCCCTCCTCCTCCTCCACATCCTCCACCTCCTCCTCCTCCACCTCCTCATATTCCTCCTCCGCCTCCTCCTCAGGTCCTCCTCTTCCTCCTCCTCCTCCTCCTCCTCCTCCTCCTCCTCCTCCTTCGCTCCCTTCTCCCCTCCTCCTCGCCTCTCCCCATCGGAGAACGCCTTTGCGGCCAAATGTTGTGCCGAAATCCTAGTCAACCTATTGGACAGTGGAAGCCCATGCCAAGAAACACCCTGCCTGGCTCCAGGGTGCCCTGGGAGTCCTGGGTTTTGCTGTCTTTGCTATGGAAGCGCGACTTCCTCGCACCAAAAATCAATGGACGTTCTGGGGTATCGAGGTTGAGCTTCTTGTGGGAGATTTCTTGTGGTCGAGCTCCTAGTGTATGTGTTCCCCCAGCCGCTGTGGAACCCCTCTGGGGAACACTGGGGCGAGGAAGGGGAAGAGACAGGAGGAGGAGGAGGGACCCCTGCGGCGGCGGCGGCGACCTCGCCGCCAGCGACCCAGAATCGGTCGATGTTGAACGATCGGACGGTTCGGAGACGGCCGATCGTTCAAGGTTGAACGATCCCCGCGGTGCCAGGAACCAACGCCGGGGTCGGCACGGCACGATCCCCGCCTTAGACTCCTTGGCCACCAGCACCCTGCCACTCCCCGGGCCCCGCTCCCCCACGGCGCCTCCTCCTCCTCCTCCTCCTCCTCCTCCTCCACCTCCTCCTCCTCCTCCTCCTCCTCCTCCTCCTCCGACTCCTCCTCCTCCTCCTCCTCCTCCTCCTCCTCCTCCTCCTCCTCCTCCTCCTCCTCCTCCTCCTCCTCCTCCTCCTCCTCCTCCTCCTCTCCTTTCTCCCCTCCTCCTCGCCCCTCCCCATCGGAGAACGCCTTTGCGGCCAAACGTTGTGCCGAAATCCTAGTCAACCTATTGGACAGTGGAAGCCCATGCCAAGAAACACCCTGCCTGGCTCCAGGGTGCCCTGGGTGTCCTGGGTTTAGCTGTCTTTGCTATGGAAGCGCGACTTCCTCACACCAAAAATCAATGGACGTTCTGGGGTATCGAGGTTGAGCTTCTTGTGGGAGGTTTCTTGTGGTCGAGCTCCTAGTGTATGTGTTCCCCCAGCCGCTGTGGAACCCCTCTGGGGAACACTGGGGCGAGGAAGGGGAAGAGACAGGAGGAGGAGGAGGGACCCCTGCGGCGGCGGCGGCGACCTCGCCGCCAGCGACCCAGAATCGGTCGATGTTGAACGATCGGACGGTTCGGAGACGGCCGATCGTTCAAGGTTGAACGATCCCCGCGGTGCCAGGAACCAACGCCGGGGTCGGCACGGCACGATCCCCGCCTTAGACTCCCTGGCCACCGGCACCCTGCCACTCCCCGGGCCCCGCTCCCCCACGGCGCCTCCTCCTCCTCCTCCTCCTCCTCCTCCTCCTCCTCCTCATCATCATCATCATCATCATCATCATCCTCCTCATCCTCCTCATCCTCCTCCTCCTCTTCTCCCTTCTCCCCTCCTCCTCGCCCCTCCCCATCGGAGAACGCCTTTGCGGCCAAACGCTGTGCCGAAGTCTAGTCAACCTATTGGACAGTGGAAGCCCATGCCAAGAAACACCCTGCCTGGCTCCAGGGTGCCCTGGGTGTCCTGGGTTTAACTGTCTTTGCTATGGAAGCGCGACTTCCTCGCACCAAAAATCAATGGACGTTCTGGGGTATCGAGGTTGAGCTTCTTGTGGGAGGTTTCTTGTGGTCGAGCTCCTAGTGTATGTGTTCCCCCAGCCGCTGTGGAACCCCTCTGGGGAACACTGGGGTGAGGAAGGGGAAGAGACAGGAGGAGGAGGAGGGACCCCTGCGGCGGCGGCGGCGACCCCGCCGCCGGCGACCCAGAATCGGTCGATGTTGAACGATCGGACGGTTCGGAGACGGCTGAACGATCCCCGCGGTGCCAGGAACCAACGCCGGGGTCGGCACGACACGATCCCCGCCTTAGACTCCCTGGTCACCGGCACCCTGCCACTCCCGGGGCCCCGCTCCCCCACGGCGCCTCGTCCTCCTCCTCCTCCTCCTCCTCCTCCTCCCTCCTCCTCCTCCTCCTCCTCCTCCTCCTCCTCCTCCTCCTCCTCCTCCTCTCCTTTCTCCCCTCCTCCTCGCCCCTCCCCATCGGAGAACGCCTTTGCGGCCAAACGTTGTGCCGAAGTCTAGTCAACCTATTGGACAGTGGAAGCCCATGCCAAGAGACACCCTGCCTGGCTCCAGGGTGCCCTGGGCGTCCTGGGTTTAGCTGTCTTTGCTATGGAAGCGCGACTTCCTCACACCAAAAATCAATGGACGTTCTGGGGTATCGAGGTTGAGCTTCTTGTGGGAGGTTTCTTGTGGTCGAGCTCCTAGTGTATGTGTTCCCCCAGCCGCTGTGGAACCCCTCTGGGGAACACTGGGGCGAGGAAGGGGAAGAGACAGGAGGAGGAGGAGGAGGAGGGACCCCTGCGGCGGCGGCGGCGACCCCGCCGCCGGCGACCCAGAATCGGTCGATGTTGAACGATCGGACGGTTCGGAGACGGCCGATCGTTCAAGGCTGAACGATCCCCGCGGTGCCAGGAACCAACGCCGGGGTCGGCACGACACGATCCCCGCCTTAGACTCCCTGGCCACCGGCACCCTGCCACTCCCGGGGCCCCGCTCCCCCACGGCGCCTCGTCCTCCTCCTCCTCCTCCTCCTCCTCCTCCTCCTCCTCCTCCTCCTCCTCCTCCTCCTCCTCCTCCTCCTCCTCCTCCTCTTCCGACCGTAGCCATTTTGGCTCAAGATGATTGGTGCCCCAGGGGACCACACGGATACCGCTAGTCCGCGGCCAGACCACCGTTCGCCTACACTGTGGGAGTTGGGCACCCACTTTCAGCCTTGCTGCCCAGCCTGCGCTGCTTCGGCGGCCTGCTCTCGGTGCCTGCGAGGCCAGCCTGCTGGATGGCGCCACAGCACTACCGTTCGGAGCAGAGCAAGCGGCAATGGTACTGCAAGAGCTGCGTCGGGCCCAAGGGCCTTCCCTGGTTCAACTTCGCCGACGCCACATCCTGCGCCAAGTGCAAGTTGGGCAAGGGGCTTTGCTTCAAGGAGTATCGCGAGCCGCCGCTGCCGTCGCTTCGCAGGCCAGGGAGGTCCTTCTCTGCATGGGCGGACTCGGTGCAGGTCCAGAAGCTCAAGCAGGAGCTGGCGGCCGCCAATGCGAAGCTCAAGCGTGCGGAGGCCCCGCCCGTGGAGGCCGAGGAGGAGCTCAGCGGATCCGACAAGGACAAGCAGAGGCTGCGGGAGTTGGGCGAGCTGCTCAAGACGGTCGAGGGCAGTGCCGATCCTCACCTCGCTCGTGCAAAGGAGGCGTTCGTCAAGGAGCAATCTGAGCTCAAGGCGAAGCTGGCGGCGGCGCGCCCCTTGGGCCAGAGGCTACGTGACCTCGGAGCCCAGATCAGCAGGCAGCAGAAGTTGCAGGAGGACCAGCAGCGGCGCCTCGTGGGGATCCGCGAGAAGCTGGCGTTGCTGCATGAGCAGGAGCAGGCGGCGCAGCAGCAGTTGGCGTCGCTCGACACCCAGATGCTGGAGTTGCAGGAGCAGCAGCGGCAGCTCCAGAGCCAGGCCCCGCTGCCCCCCCAGCCTGAGCACGGCAAGGGGCCGCTGGATGAGCCGATCGTCGGGCTCGGCCAAACGTTGGCGGGGCTCGACCAGGTGCTCAACTTCCTCGGCGCCGAGCATGGGTTGTCGGAGCGCCTCAAGGAGGACCTGGAGCGCCTCAAGCTGCTCAGCGAGGAGGCCAAGGTCAAGCAGCAGCGGGAGAGGGCCGAAGCCGCTGCGGCTGCTGTCGCCGCTGCTGAGGACCAGCGGGCGCCTGGCGGCAGCCCGCCTTCGGAGTGTGACGCGATGGAGCAGGACGAGGCCGACAGCGCC